CACATTATAAATTCTTTAAACATCAGCTTTGCAACCACACTATCCCAGAACTCAGAGTATGACTTCTCATAATTTGGATTTAGAAACAATTAATCATGACAAAGTAGGAAAAAAGTTGATATTTAACTCTCACAGGTCCTTAATGCAGTGTAATCTACACACCTTTGAGAAGACATGTCTAGTCATGGGCTGTCCTTACTCGCAAGATTGATTTAGTGAAGGCTGTAAAATTTCTCCCAATAAGGCCAAAAAAGATATAAAATATATTAGAATTTTTATTTTCAAAGAAAATACATTTTTTTTCAATTTTAAGAAAAATATATTGGAAACAAAATTGGAATCTAGTTAAATAAAAAGAAAGCTCTACGGAGATTAAGGAGTTCTTAACGTTACTTCATTGAAATTCTTATATAACTTTTATTGCATTTATTTCACACTGTCTTTTATACACTTTTTTGCACATATTTTTATCCTATTCTATTCAAGACATGGTCCCTCTACAGAACCTAGTACTTTTCCCATAATACATGTAGGCCAAATGATTGAAGATTGAATGAAATTCAATGAAGGGTTCTACCATGGTTTGAATGTTTGTCCTCTTCAAAACTCATGCTTACATCTAATTGCCATTGTAACAGTATTAAGAGTTGGGACCTTTGAGAAGTGATTAGCCCATGTAGGCTTAGCTCTTGTGGGTGGGATTAACGCAGGTATAAATGGGTGAGTTCAGCTCTCTCTCTTGCTCTCTCTCTGCCTCTCTCTTTCTCTTTTTACCCTTCTGCCATGTGATGTCTTCAACCATGTTAGACGCAGAATGAAAGCCCTTGCCAGCTACCAGCACGTTGATATTGTGCTTCCCAGTCTTCAGAACCGTGAGCCAATAGATTTCTGTTCATTATGAATGACTCTGTCTCACGTGTTCTGTTATAGCAGTACAATACAGACTAAGGCAGCTTTTCTATGGTATAAATGAAGTACCATTTCCCAGATATGCTGCTTTTTATTGCCCTAATTTAATTTAAAAAGTCATTTTAGATGGCATTACTATCATTTATTGAGCACTGATTATGTGCCAGGCCTTGTTCCAAGTGTTTAACATTCATTATCTCATTTAATCTCTGTAACAGCTGTATGGGCTTATTTCTCTCATTTTATCAAGATGTGACGGGAGTAAGTTTCACTATTGTGCAGGGCTACCCAAATATACACATGCATTTTGTCTTCTGTACCATCATCATCTTCCTGGGATTAAAGCCTATCCCCGCTATCCCCACCTGTTCCTAACCCATGCATCTTGTGCCTTTACAAAGAAGGGTATCCACATGGGGCAGTTTGAATGGAGCTCCACAAAGTGTCGGGATGTACCTTCTGCTGGATGATCCCAGGTAATTTCAGGCAGCTGTGGAAGGAGAGCCTCACTCCTGATAAGGAAAAGGACACCTGACTGCTCAGTTCAAACATCATACAGTGGCCATTCCAATTGCATGTGGCCAGCAGGCAATGACTTGTCTTCATGGGGCTGGCAGGGGATGCTCAACAAGGTTCTCCTCCTTTTGGTCCACTGACCTCCTCCAAGGAGAGACCAGCCACCCCATTCTAGCACATTCTCCACATGGTCAACAAGATTCTCCTCCTTTTGGTCCACTGACCTCCTCCAAAGACAGACCACCCATCCCATTCTAGTACAACCAACATTCTTCTCATCTCCCTGGGGCAGGGCATAATGAGTCACCATCTCTTGTTTTTCTAATAAATTATTATGGTACAAACTTCTTTCTTGATTCTTAAGAGTTTTGGGGGTTTTTTTGTTTTGTTTTGGTTTTTGGTTTTTGGTTTTTTTTTGACTAAGCTCTTGTAAATGAAACATCTTAATTTCTGGAACTAGTGGTCTTCAAGGCCTGTTTAGGATTCAAAATCTATACACCCTTTCTAGTTTGTACATTTGTAAGAAATGAATTCAGATTCTCCTGAGAACATCTAGAGGTCTTTGAATTGCAGGGTGGCAATGATTTTCTATAAAGGGCCAGGTAGTAATGTGTTGGGATTCATAGGCCATACACAGCCTTTGTCACATAGTTGTGTTTTTTTGTTTTTAAACAACTCATGTTAAAGGGAGAGATCAGTTCAAGGCATTTGTTTGTTTACCTGTCTGAGTCCAAATAAATTAAGAATTTTATGCCTACTGAGAAGTAGGTATCTGGAGTGGTAAGTTTTCTATTTCTTAATTTATGTTTGATCCATGGCTGAAATCATGACATTTAAGCTATAATAAGTTCTTTCTCAACCACATAAATGTTTAGACCTGTAATTCAAAAAAGCCTTTAAATATCATTGTGTGAGTGTATATTTTCCTGCCTCCAAGGGATATTAAATTAGATTATAAAATATCTTAAATTAAAAGAGCTCTATTCTGATTGACTTACAGAGGTAAGTGCTTTATAACGGAATATTCCTAAAATTCCCAGAAATGTTGGAAATTAAAGTTCCAATAATTTCCGTGTGCCAAAAAAGGGGGCATTCTTAATGAAACTAACCCAAATGTTTTAGGAATTCAAGTTCACATAATTTGGATAAATATTTTGCAAATGAGACTAATTTAATGTTGTTGGTTTAATAAAAATAGTTATGTCTTCTCTGAGTTAAATGACATATTTATTCTGCTTGGATATGTTTTTCCTAAACTTATACAGGTGTAATGATTAAATAAACTAACATTACTTCTACTAAATGTTTAAGGCTATGAAAGATGCCAATCCGTGTTTAACCAAATTAAATATTTATTCTAACAAACTTTATTTCAACAGTAGTTATATTTTGTAATATGTCGGCTTGATGATAGTTTCCAAGATCTTTTGGTAATTTAAAATTTTGGACTGATACAAAATGAGTACATTAATGGATATTCATTAGATACTTAGGTCATCTCTAAGTAAGAGGAAAAACTGAAACATTAATTATCAAGTATAATTTTAAGTTTATACACTTTTTGTTATTTATTTTTATAGCATATAGAGAAGCTCTATATTTGGAGTTTGTTAATGAATATGTTCATTTTTGCCACTTTGAAAACTTGTATTATAAAAAACAGGTATAGCTATAGAATGATATAGAGAGTTCAAGAAAAGTTAATTTTATTTGTCCTGATCAGTGCTAGCTATGGTTTGATGAGTTATTTATAGGATTTTCTTAAAAAAGCTTTAGTATCAAATATCATACTGATGCAAAACTGGAATTCAGTTTTCTCTCTGTTAAAAGACTGAGATTATCTCGGATTATTGGTCAGGTCTTGATAGGCAGTTATAAAAGTTTATTCTTTACCTTCTGTGCAATCTGCCTGGATGACAAGGATTTTATGTCTTACAGAATAACTTCCACGGTTTATGTTTACTGTTTTTCCTTGATTATTTATGAAAACAAAGATTTCTCACATAGACAAAAACTCAGATTCTTTCCAATAATGATACCTCCTGTATCAGGATGGATCTTCAGATAAACAGAATCAAAAGGATATATAGAGATATCTAGAAAGAGGTTTATTATAGGGACTGACTCACATAATTATGGAGGCTGAGACCTCCACAATATGCTGTCTGCAAGCTGGAGGCCCAGGAAAGCCCAGTTACCACTTAACAATTCCAGCCTCAGCTCCAAGAATTGAGAACCAGGGAAGCCAATGGTGTAAGTCCCAGTCCCAGTTTGAGTCCAAAGGCCAGAGAACCAGAAGCTCCAGTGTCCTAGGGCAGGAGAAGATGAATGTTCCAGCTCAAGCAGACAGCAGATTTATCCTTTGTCTACCTTTTCATTCTGTTCAAACCCTCAACAAATTGTGTGGTGCCCATCTACATAGGTGAGGGCGATCTTTGCTTTATCTACCAATTTAAATACTGATCTCTCCCAGAAATACCCTTAAAAACACACCTAGACATAATGTTTTCCCAGCTATCTACGAATCTCTTAGCTAGTCCAGCTGACACATACAATTAACCACTAGAGTTCTTATGTTTACTTTTATAACTTTTATTGTCACTTTGGTTTAATAGGTGGTTAAGGTTTAATAGGCAGGTATCCCATGATCATACATAGCTAACGATCCCATGATCTCATCTTAATCAAGCATTCAAATCTTCTGAAAATTTTTTATATGTTTCCTTTTCAAAATCACAACCTAAATCATATCTCTTGCATCTTAAAACTATCTTTGAGATTCCCCAGATAAATCACAAAGGATTTGTTTGCTCGTCATGTGAAAAGAGAGGTACTAGAAATAATTAGGTTTATTTGAATATTACTATTAATGAGTTGCATGGGAAGAGATGTTAAATTGAAGAGATGCTCAGCCTTCCCTAGGTTAAATTTGTATGAGTAAATGTTTATTAATATAAGGAGTTCAGTAATTATATGCTGTTTGGGAAGTTCTTAAAGAATTGCCAGCGCCCTCACCATTGATTATACGTTTCTGTTTATTCGAATCTTGGCACTGCTTTGCCTATTATTAGGCAACAACAGTCTAGTGTTATCAATCATAATTTCAGTTATTTTTTAACATGTGACTTGTCACAACTTTACTTATTTAATTTGAATCTAGCATCTTCAAAGCCCATGGTTTTCAATTAGAGATTTTTATATTACTTACCTGTAGTATTTTACTAACATATAAAGATATTTAAGACCTACTCAGACTTAGTGAATCTCTTTACTTGATATATATTCTTGATGTATTCTTACTATAGTCTTTGCATATTCATGGCCTATTATGTCAGGATTATTATATATCTCAATTTTTTTTCTCTAAAATGATTATGATCATCTGTTTTTATTAATGAGGTATACTATTCTTTAAAATAGGTCTAATTATTATGTTTATGAATATTTTATCTATATTATTTTAAATTGTAATTATTCTCTTATTTTGCATGCCACAGAAACAATCAAAAATATTTTTTACACTTGCATTATTCTTGTAATGAACTCTCATCAGATCTTTCACTTTTGGAACTTACCAGTGTGAAGTTAACCACAGCAGTTTTAAGTCCCTTGTCATCTACAGGTGGTTTTCTGTTTCACTCTGATGCTTCCTTGAAAGTGCAACCAGCTAGAGGCCAGAAAGAGACTTTTATTTGTCCTGGTCCAAGTCAGCTGTGGTTTGATAATGTTGCTTCATCTTCAACAAAGATGAATCATCTCAGAGCCTGTGAAAAGGTCTATACCAGGTACTCCAAAGCACAGACTTCTGGCATCACTTACGCAACTTTGAGACCACATCCATGGAATGAATCGGGATTTCCAGAACATAGTTCAGAAACAGATGGGCTCATGAGACCGCTAACCCAAGATCAAGTGAAACAAGAGTTAATTACATAGGACTGAATGACCTGATCAGAGATAGCTGTGGGTTTTTTTCTGGAATATTATTGCTATTTTAATGTTCTATTTTCTGGATATACAAAGAAGCTCCTTTGCTTTCCTTATAAGCTACCTCGAACTCAACAATCGAGTAGACTCAGCTTCTGTAAACTGAAATGAAACATTTGTAGATGATAATATATCTTATTCCACCTGACTAACCCCTCCAGAATTTGGAACCTCTTATTTAATACTCTTATTTTCATCGCAATGTAGTTATTTCCATAGATTAATTAAGAATCTGTCCTACTTGTTATCAGTACAAAATGAGAAACATTGTGCAACCAAGGCTTTGTCTGGAATGTCATGTTGGAAAATGAAATTCTTTTAATCAAATATGAACAAACACTTTTAAGAAACAAAGGTTGATTTTATGGAGGCAATGCTTTGCAAAGCCCTTTTGGGACTGGCCTGGTATCTGGTTTATAAGTTCTCAGTCTTACAGGTAATAATGAAGGTCACTTCTTGGCAGATTCAGGAACTGTAGTTTATTTTGTGGACCTCCAGAATGGAGGATTTACAAGAACTACAGGTAAAATATAATAGCAAATTCTTGGCTTGGCTTCCTATCCTCAAGAGGCTTTTAAAAGACTAATCTGAAATTCCTTCTGAAAACATTCATCAAAGAAACTTAAGAAGGCCTACACGGTAAATTATTATTCTTGCTACGCCAATGTAAGTAATCAGGTCAAATCTAAGGAGACTAGCCTTAGTTTATTATCAAAAATAACGTTTCTTTGAGATTATTATCAACCAAAAATAAAATTTTAAGCCCCCCACCTACCAAACAGACTCTCTTGACCAAGAAGACTGGAAAGAAATCTGAAAAACTGAGTTCCTGCCATGATGGGAAGGGAGGTTGAACACACCTCAATATACCCCCGCCTTTTGGCATTTAGGCTCAACAACTGACCAGTACTAGTGTTTAAATAAAGGGCCAGGTAGTAATGTGTTGGAATTCGTAGGCCATACACAGCCTTTGTCACATAGTTGTGTTTTTTGTTTTTAAACAACTCATGTTAAAGGGAGAGACGAATTCAAGGCACTATGCTTATATATCCTTTCCTAAACATAAACTTTTTTTTTCTTTGAGTTAATTTTTATTTATTTCTCTTACTTGGCTTTCTTTAAATCTCTGGCTTGATCTGACCACATTGTCCAAGACAAAACAGACTCTTAGTTGCAATAAAGTACCAAATTATAAACAAGTCCTAAGGCCACGCCAGGCAGGAGTTAATGCACATCTGTAGCCATCAGTCTTGCTAAACAGGTCATATTGTGGCTGATTCTGAAATACATCCTTATTTCAACTTAAACAGGTCTTTCTGCTAACTTCAAGTTTTTAGACAACATTTCATTTCTTTAACCAACTGCAGATTAAAGAATCTCTGAATCCATCTATGACTCGTATGTCCCCACTTCAAGATATGCTACTTTTTCAGGCCAAACCAATGTATACCCTCCATGTGTTTTACGGCTTTGTCTGCAATTCTTGCCTTCTTGAAATATATAAAACCAAATTGTAATCTGACCACCTCAGGTACCCAGTCTCAGGAATCTTGAGACTGTATTTCCTTGGACTGTGGTTGTTCATATTGGTCCAGGATAAATTTCTTTAAACTGCTTGTTTTTTCCATTAACATCTTTGAGGGTATGACTTTAGAGAGATGAGAGAAATTTTGTGTTTTGGAAAACTATGCATTGTCTATAGCATACCATTCCATGTTATCAAATTCTAGACTTGTTCACTGTCTTTGAAGCATGTTGCACATATTTGCACAATTGTATATTGTAGGTAACTGATGGACATGCATACTGGCTTGTCTAATGGCTACTTAATTGACTTCCTCCCACTCTGGAAAAATCAGTTTTGTTATCTATCTGCAAATTATACTGGAGCCTGTTACTTGCTCAAAATGTCAATCCACACCAACTTTTAAATTCTTTTAGTTTCCTTCACTATCTGGCTATAACCCTCTCCACTAACTTATCCAATTTTTTTCTCTCCTGCTTGACTCAGCACCACTAAGAACTAAAACTCAACTGCCCAGATGATTATGAGGACTCTGGTTTGCCTTGCAATTGGCCATTCCTCCATTCTCCACACCCCACCCCCACTTCCCACTCTCCATCCCCTGTCTAAAGAAGATGGCTTGCTATTAACCTTGATTGACTCACCATCACAGCAGATCATGCAGGGGCCAGATTTCTCTTTGGATAAGCCTCTATCTGGGCCACTAGGGAATTCCTTTGACGGGCTTGAGTCATGCATGTCCTTAAATAAGAGGAAACCAAGACTGTAGATAACTTCACCAACAGCAATGACATTCAAGATATTCAGCAGGTAGTACCACATAACCAGAAGACTTTCCTCTACCACATTGGAAATCCACTTGGAATCCAATGGATTGGTTACCCTCCAGTTTACCTTTCACAATATATATATATTTTTTTATTTTAGGCATGTCTCCTTTAAAGGGCCTGATCTCCAGGAACCTAAAACAACTGACCTTTGATACCACCTTTCAACAGGTGGTTCAACTAATTTTACAGAACCAATGCCAATGAGAATCTTGGAGACACAAGTTCTTAGACACCGCTTTGCCCCATATAGGAAGTGTATGATCATTTATGAGTTCTTTGTTGACAAAGGATATTTATCCTTTTGAAAAAGGGGGAAGACTGACAATGTTGAAATTTTTCTGAGCCACGTGTTCCACAAAGCAGGGATGATTGGGAAGATTGAGAAATCTCCCCCACCCCTTTGTATATTGAGAAACCACCAACCAGCAAAGGATCTTTTTGCTGTCCTGCGTTTGGAGATAAGTTCTGCCTCCACCTTTCCTCGGTGAGTTAGCCAAGACCCATCTCCATTCTTCTTCATGACTCTGATAAGACTTGCTGATGACTCTTTTCTGCCTCTGTAAAGCTCAAGGCTCCCCTTCCTTTTCTTTGACAAGTTCCTCATTGAGGAATGTTCTCCCTGTTGCAACAGCCTGAATAAAATAATCACCTAATTGTCATGTGCATTTTATCTTTCACATTGAATACAGAAAGACCATTTCAACCCAAATAAGAGTATCATGATAGAGAACAACAGCACTGCTCATGTGTGAGTCAGAAAGTATCCTATACTTATATATCCTTTCCTAAATATAAACTTTTGTTTTCCATTGAGTTAATTTTTATTTATTTCTCTTACTTGGCTTTCTTTAAATCTCTGGCTTGATCTGACCACATTGTCCAACTCTGTAAAAGGCTTTTCTGTACAGTTTCCCTTTTATTATTTTCTTGGAAACTTCTTCCCTAAGGTTCTTCATCCTCCAGTTCCAGTTTATACTGGTTGTCCTTTTTGTCTGCTATAAAGTGGTAATTATAGGAATTTCCTCTTTTTTAAATTGGGATCTCATTTTACTTTTTCTTCTGTGACTCACTGATTTTCATGGAGCATATCCTACAGAATCTCCCTGAGAAAAGACATGTAGAAGACATTTTTTTAGACCATCTGTTAAGCTCTGTATTTTGCTCTCATACTTGATTGACAGTTTGCCTGGGTATAAAAATCCAGGTTCATGATCGTTTTCTTTCACAATTTGGAAGGCATTGCTTCATCGTTGTCTAGTCCCAAGTGTCACTATTGAAAAATGTCCCTTTGATTCCTGATCCTTTGTATGTGAATACTATTATTACTGTTATCATCATCATCATCTCTGGAAGCTTTCAGAATCTTCTCTTTTTCCTAATTGTATTGATATTTTATGCAAATGTGCCTTGGTATGGCTTTTATTAGTAGTAGTATTGCTTTTGTGGGTATTTGGAAATTTTGTTCAGTGTTTATATTCATATCTTTCAGTTTGGAAAAGTTTTCTTGCATTATTTCTTCTATTTTCTCTGAACTCCTCATCTGTTATATACATTTATATAACAGAAATGTTTATATAACATTTATATAACAGAAATGTTTATATAACATTTATATAACAGAAATGTTTATATAACATTTATATAACATTTATATTATATAAATATAATAAACATTTCTGTTATATAAATGTTAGAACCTCAGAATAATCTTATTTTCCTATACGTGTTCCTATTGTCTAATTCTTTATCTTTTTGTTCTATTTATCTCTATTTATCTGACCTCAACTGTATCCTCCTATCTTTCCATTATATTTATTTCTGCCATATTTCCAATATCCAAGGGCTGTTTATTGTTTTTTATATGTCCCCTCTTTATATAGCTGGAATGTATTTTTTTACTACTAGAATCAAAATATTTTCTTATATCTCTGAAGATACTAATGATAGTTTCATTTTAAGCTTTTCTCTGCTTTCCACATCATCTCTTCTGTCATCTGTTGGTTCATTTGATGAGAGGCTTTTCTCAAATACCAGTGATTCTTGGTAACTGAGCCAAATTTAAAAGTGTGACAGCAAACCTAGGACTAGTAAGCCTGTTGTCCAGGAAGAGCTTATTGACTGTAAGATCCCACTCTGAAGTGGTTGAGAAGGTCTGGCTATTTTGTAGGGAACTCCAGAGGAGTAAACCTGGTTGTCATCCTTCTCAGATGCAAGCAGAAAAAAAGGCAATTGTTTTCTTCCCCTGTGGCCTATTGCCCCTTCCCTCAGGTTTGTCTGATGTTCCTAGGGCTGGTTACTCCGTGTTTCAGTGTCTTCAAAAAGTAAAACTTGAATATTTTACTGTACTGAGGGAGGGGAGTCTCATTACTGTATGACATAGGGAAGTAGGTCTGAGTGTCTCAAGCTTATCCTTTTAAAGACATTAAACCAAACTGGTTTTCCACTAAGGTTCACACTTCTACCTTCAGAAGTACTTGGTGACTCCAATTCCTGGCTTTTCTAGTATTCAGTTAAGCCTATTGTTCCTTCTTATTTTATTTGTCTCTTACAGTTAGGTGTCAGCTTTCTCTGCTCTGTGACATCAATTCCCACGTGTTCATCTGCTTTTTGACTCCTAAAATTTGATTAATATCTCTAGCTATCAGTTGTCTACTTCCTTGTCCTTTTGTCTTTGTAGGTTCTTTTTTAAAATATTCCTTTATTGTTACTCAGTGGGGCTTTAAAAATAAAGACAAGCATCTGTATTAAATTTACCAAGTTTAATTAGTTTCTTGCTGATTGTTCAGTACTCTTTATATTTTCAAAGCTGTAATCTTTTACCTCCCACATATTTTGCAATTTTATCCTCAATTTGATGTTTATCTTCTAATATTGAGGATAATGTTTTTTGAAGTATAGAATTTTTTTAATGTAGTGAGGCCTACCTATATTCTTCGTGGTAAAATTTAAAAAGCCTTCTCCACATTGAAGTCAGAAAAACATTTACCTACAGTGATTTCTAGTTCACTTAAAAGTTAGTTAGTTGGTCTGTAACTTAACTAGTGCTATATTTCGAGTGAGGTATTTCAGAATAATTGCTTTTCGAACTTGGAATGTACTGCAACTTTAAATTGCCAGGTGCCATATTTTTATATTGAAAAACCACTTTCAATTTCAATAACACTACCCCTCAAATACGGAACCCTTGCTAGAACCTGTTGACTGAAGAAATGATAATGTTCTCATCTTCACTAGACCCCTGCATCCATATTCCAAAGAACAGGCCAAACTATTTCTAAATATAAAAAGTTACAATAAAGTCCTAGTTTTTCTTGTGCTCAATACTTTAATGTTTTTAACACCCAAAGTTGCCAACTAAAGGTTTCTTATGGCTTCAAAGGTCACTTTCCATTCAGTAAGAGAAGAACTCAGTCCACCAGGTCTATAACATATAAGCCATTACCCATGGAGTGGGCATTTCATTTGCCAGAAAGAAGATTTTCCCCCAATTTTTTAAAAAAGGCACGTCAAAAGAATATATAAAATGCATGATTAAATCTTTACTAGATTATATCCTCCTGAGAGCTAATAGATTCTGAAACAAACACTTAGTTAAAATAATTGCAAAAGGAACAATGAAAATATATGCCAGAGACCACTTCAAATAAGGACGTGTTGACTGAAGACGTTGTGATGCCCACATCTCCACTCTACCCCTGCATCCATATTCCAAAGAAAATGCCAAACTATTTCCAAATATAAAAAGGATACATAAAAATAGGTCCAAATAAGGACAGTGGAGATGCTTAATTACTCACAAGTGAATGAAACAAGCCCTTCAAATCTTTTCTAGATGAAGAATAGTATAAATAACTAATAAATAAAACTAATAAATCTAAGATCAGGAGCCATCTTCAATTAGTCCCTCCTTTTTTTTTTTTTTTTTGAGACGTCTTGCCCAGGCTGGCCTTGAACTCCTGGGCTCAAGCCATCCTCCCACCTCAGCCTCCTGAGTAGTTGGGAGTACAGGTACATACCACTGTACCTGGCAGTCCCTCACTTTTAATGATCTCATTGGAGACTATTCAACCATTGGAGATGTGACAAGAAGCATGCTTCACATCTATTTGAAGTACCCCAAAGTGGGGCATGCACTCTGAAAATCTGATAAATAGTAAAGTAAGAAAAAGGAAACCATAGAACAGTTTCCCAGGGGAACTTGTTGGGGCTCAGAAGCCAATAACCGAAAATGCAGGGCTTTCACCTGCTGAACTGCAGAAGCCTCAAGATCTCTCTGAGCTTCCCTACTTCCTGTCTCTCAATCCTTTCTTTCCCAAAGCACAGGATGAAGTTGTTCTCTGAACTTCCCTTATCGGCCTGAAGTCCAGACTTGCCAAAAAGAAAACAATGACCTCTGATCCCTTCCTGAGTTTTTAATAACTCATTGCAAGAAGAAAGACCAAAGTCTGTCTACACATTTGGACATATTTGTCACAAACCACTGTCTGCTCTGCAAGCCCAACAGACTTTTTCCAGGCCTTTGTACATTCTTCAAGACCACTGAATTCCCCTAAATATCATTTATTATCCCCTAAAATAATCCACATTTCCCCACCTTCCTTTTCCCTAAGAAGAAGGGTATGTCAGCATCTCTATCCCAATTCATGGTGGGATAATCACTCTGTGGTTCTCCCCTGTGCATGCTAATAAATTTGTGTGCCTTTTCTCCCACTAATCTGCCTTTTGTCAGTTGATTTTCAGCAAACATTCAGAGGGTGAAGGCAAAGTTTTCCATTGGTCCCTAGAAACGGACAGGCTTTGGTGCTCATCGGAAGTGCACATACAGTAGAGTAAAAAGGTAATGAGAGAGGTTACCAAAAGTGAGGAGGAGACACCAAGTCTATGCTTCTGCTCTCTAAAGTCAGGAATTTACTCCTGGAACTAAAATTTAGCTATCAAGTGATGTAACTGTGAGTAGGAAGACCAC